TTATGCAGAGCCCTGTTTGCTGTGCAGAGCTCAGCTCTGTGTCAGAGGACAAAGGGCTCTGCTGAAAAAGGTGTTTAATCATTTAACTAAAGGCAGCTCAGCCTCCATCCCGCTGCCTCCAGCAGCCCAGCACGGCTGGGGACTTGTCACTGATGTTCTCTTGCAGTATTCAGAGTTCTCTGTGTGTCAGGATAAAGTGTTCAGCACTTCAAAATACTGAACTGCAGGGAAATCTTCCTGTAGCATTGCTCTGGCTGACTCAGTGTGGTCAGTGCTGCTCCTGCCTGTCCAGACTCTGCTCAGCTACAGAGAGGAGGCTCACAGGGATGCACCAGCTTTCCTTCCATCGAGTCATCTGTGGTTTTCCAGCTATAAAACCCTTCAGGAGTACAGGCTGTGTGTGTGAGAGCTGGCTGTGCCTCCAGCCAGTGGGGCTCAGTGTGAAATGTGAACCTGCCAGAGCATTTTGAGTTCAGTTTTTCCATGCTGGGCTGGAGTTCTGTGGGAATTCCAGCTGCAGGTGCAGTTGGTTGCACCTGCTTTGGAGCAGAGAGATTCTCCTGAGTCTGCTGACCTGTGGAATTCAGTTCAGAATATTATCTTTACACTTGTTAAAACTATTCCCCCAGAACACCTCAGAGTGTGAGAAATACGCCTGCTGTCCCCTGCCCCCTTACCTGGAGGACTCTGGGTGTGTGGTTGAAGAAGATGACAATGCAGGAAGGCCCCTGAGAGACGTCTGCTTCCATTTGCTAAAGCTCTACAGCGACAGGTAAGGGGGCAAAGAGGTCAAAGAGGATTTAGAAAACCCATGATCAGTCAGTGGCTTCCTGAGTTCCCAAGCCAGGGGGGTGAAATCAGCCAGAAGCACTTGGAGCAGTCCAAAACGAGCCCCACATGTACCCCCTGACAGAAGGGGGTGACACTGTCACTCCTGGGGATGGTAGAGGTGGGGAACCCTCAGCTTTGGGGCACATTTGTGGGGGTTTAGGTGCTGTGTCTGTCTGAAGAGTGTAGTGAGGCTTCTCCCTAGCTGCCTCTTTGGCAGTGAGAAATCTGCAGGGAGCACATGCAGAGGACAAGGGCTGACAGTCTGGCTGCAGGCTCAAAAGGATTTAAACAGTTTCTCCTATTATTTTTCCTTTTAAAAAAGCAAACCAAAGCCCTACTTTGATGTAAATCACATACATGGAGTAGCTGGAGGTGGGTGAAGGGCAGGAGCTGAGCAGCATGGATTCCTGATGTGATTCTGTGGGCACAGGGAGCTCTCTGTCACCGGTGTTCTCCCCTCCAGGTGCTACGACCTGGACCAGCTGCTGGACCCCCGGAGTGTCACGTGTGACCCGCTGGATTTCCGCCTCAGCTGGCACCTGTGGGAGGTGCTGAGGGCCCTCAACTACTGCCACCTGTCCCAGCAGAGCCGGGGGGTGCTCAACACCAGCTTTGCTGCCCAGCTGGAGAGCGAGGGGCTCTGGGAATGGGCCGTGTTCGTGATGCTGCACGAGCCCGACGCGCAGTGAGTGACCCTCCTGGCTCCTGCTGGCCTGGGAACAGCTGCAGTCTGTCCCGGAGACATGGGGTTGTTGTGGCTTCTCCCACAGCAAACTCTGCCCCTGGAGAGCTTCATGACACTTGTGAAAATCAGAGAATCCCAGAGGGGGTTGGGTTGGGAGGGACCTTAAAGCTCATCTCATTCCACGCAGGGACACCTTCCACCAGCCCAGGTTGCTCCAAACCCCGTCCAACCTGGCCTTGGACACTTCCAGGGATCCAGGGGCAGCCACAGCTTCTCTGGGCAACCTGGGCCAGGGCTTCCTCACCCTCACAGGGAAGTATTCCTTCCCAATCTTCCATCTCACCCTGCCCTCTGGCAGTGGGAAGCCATTCCCCCTTGATGGTGTGCCCTTCCCTATTGGAAGGTGTCCCTGCCCGTGGCACAGGGTGGAACTGGATGAGCTTTAATGTCCCTCCCAACCCAAATTAATACATTTCAATACTATTTTTCCTCAAGGGATAACTTCAAATCGAGCCTGAACGTTTACTTTCAGGGGGGCCTGGGACCAGACTTAAAAGTTCTGAAGTTGGCAACATTTAAGCTGTTCTGAAACACCAGCGATGATTTCTTAGGGGTTAACCTGTACTGAATATAGAGTGCCAGAGTGGGTTGGGTTGGGTTGGGTTGGGAGGGACCAACGCCCCGCTTGTGGTGTTGGGGTGCCCGTGGGTGGCAGGAGGGTGCCCCCTGAGCCCACCCTGTCCATGCCAGGTGCCGGGAGAAGGCCGTGCGGGAGCTGCTGGGCCGGCACTGCGCCCTCGCCGACATCCCCGAGTCCTGGGCCAAGGAGACCTTCCTGACACAGCGGCTCTGCCTCCCCCCACACTGGATCCACGAGGCCAAGGCCGTCCGGGCCAGGATGGAGGGGGACAAGCACAAGGAGGCCCTTTTCCTGTTCAAGGCTGGGCACTGGAACCAGTGCCACAAGCTGGTTGTCAGGCACTTGGCCTCAGGTGGGTCTGTGCCCCTGGGGCAGAGGTGTCAGTCCTGGGGGTGTCCCTGCTGTGGGACGCAGGGTGGCCTCTGTTCCTGACCCCTTTTCTCTTCAGATGCAATTATCAACGAGAACTACAAGTACCTGAAGGGGTTCCTGGAAGACCTGTCCCCTCCGGAGCGCAGCGCCCTCATCCAGGACTGGGAGCTGGCAGGGCTGGTCTACCTCGACTACATCCGGGTCAATGAGATGCTGGACAGGATTCAGCAGGTGAGGGGCTCAATCCAGGGGGTGTTTCCCTGCACTGGGGGAGCTCTCACAGTCTGGCTCTAAGGATCAGCTGTTCCTCTGTTCAGGGGCAGGTGGTGCTTCCCTTTGGCAGACACTTCAAACAGAACGTGGGGCATCTCTGAAAATGGGGATTTGGTGTTTGCTGTGGCAGCCAGGGCTGGGCTCTGCCCTGCAAACGTGCTCTGTGGGTGTGTGACAGTGAGAAGGGAAAGGGAAGGGACAAAGCCAGCACTCTGTGTCCATCCCCTCCAGCTGCAGTCCAGGCCTCCCCTTTCCCCATTCCAGTGTTCAGTTCAGGCAGGTTTTGGTGACCAGTGTTCCCTGGTGGGTTGTTTGGCTCCGAGGGCCCCAGGGCTGTGGTTCTGCTGCCTCAGTGACTGCCCTGTTTGCTTCCAGCTGGATTGTTCCACCTACGAGCTGGAGCGGTTACACACCAAAGTGACGTCCCTGTGCAACAGGATAGAGCAGCTGCAGTGCCACAACGCCAAGGACCGCCTGGCTCAGTCGGGTACGTGACACCCCAGTGCCACAGCCTGGCTGCCTCCTGCCCTGCAGCTGTATCCCAGAATAACTGAGCTTGGAAAACCCTCCAAGATCCCTGAGTTCAGTTTCTCCCCCAGCACTGCCAAGGCCACCACTAACCCTGTCCCCAAGTGCCACATCCCCGTGGCTGTTAAATCCCCGCAGGGATGTGACTCCACCACTGCCCTGGGCAGCTGTGCCAGGCCTGGACAGCCCCATCCAGGAAAGAATCTTCCCAATATCCAACCTGAGCCTCCCCTGGCACAGCTGGAGGCCGTTCCCTCTCCTCCTGTCCCTTGTTCCCTGGGAGCAGAGCCCGACCCCCCCCCCGGCTCCCCCCTCCTGTCAGGGGGTTGCAGAGCCAGAAGGTCCCCCCTGAGCCTCCTTTGCTCCAGGCTGAGCCCCCCCAGCCCTTTCAGGGTAGGAATTTTCCCCCATATCCAACATAAAGCTCCCTGGCACAGCCTGAGGCCGTTTGCTCTGTCCCTGTGCTGAGGGGGCAGCCCTGTCCCTGTGCTACAGAGCAGTGGCTGTGCTGCCCTTGCCCGGTGTGACGGGTTTGCCACAGCCCCCAGCAGCCCCTCTCTCTCTCTGTCCCGTGTTGCAGACATGGGTTTGCTGCAGCCCCTGTCTCTCTCTCTGTCCATGTTTCAGACATGGGTTTGCTGCAGCCCTTGTCTCTCTCTCTCCGTGTTTCAGACATGGCCAAGCGCGTGGCCAACGTGCTGCGGGCGGTGCTGAGCCTGCAGCAGGGCCCGGGCCCGGCTGAGCCCCGCGTGCCCCCCCTGCGCCTGCTGGCCCCGCACATCGGCCGCCTGCCCATGCCCGAGGACTACGCCCTGGAGGAGCTGCGGGGGCTCACCCAGGCCTACCTGCGGGAGCTGGCCGTGGGCACCCCCTGAGCCCCCCGGCAGGGCAGGATCGGGGACAGGACTGACCCGGGAGCGCTCGGGATGAGCGGCCGTGGTCCCGTCGCATTCCCGGCCCGGCCCCGGCGCCGCCCCGGGGCCACGGAAGGTCTTCATGCATGAGGAGTATCGAAAGGTTTTTATTAAAAAGGTATAAATAAATGCTCTAGATTATTTTCTTGTCTTTTTGAAAATAATAAATAAAATGTTTATAGTATTCCCGTGGGTTCCTTTGCTTTTTGAGGGAGGGCTGGGGTTCGCAGGGGTGTGTCCCTTGGTGGGGGCACAGCTCAGCTGAGGTGTCTGACACGATCCCACGTGCCTTTAGTGGGGGTCAGGGGAGGCTCCCTCAGAGCCCTGGGAGGAAAAGTCACCCCTGTCTCGAGGAGGGGGTTGGGGAGCCCGAATAAACCACATTGGGGCCCTTTAGCACGGAAAGGGGCTTGTGAAAAAGCTGGAGAGGGACTTTGGACAAGGGGGAATGGCCTCCCACTACCCGAGGGCAGGGTGAGATGGGAGATGGGGAAAGAATCCTTCCCTGGGAGGGTGGGGAGGCTCTGGCCCAGGTTGCCCAGAGAAGCTGTGGCTGCCCCTGGATCCCTGGAAGAATCCAAGGCCAGGCTGGACGGTGCCTGGAGGCTCCTGCTCTGGTGGAAGGTGTCCCTGCCCCTGGCACGGTGGCACGTTCAGGTGACACTGTCCGTGTGCAGGAGCCGGGTCCCTCTGCCCTCCCCTCCTTCCATTACTGTAATTGGGTCTGTGCGGCCCCGGGCCCGGCGGGACACGGGCTGGGGATGAATAATTCACCGCCTGGAAACAAAACCTCCGGCCTCAAAACCGCTCGGCACCTGCTGCCGGGGCCCGGCGCGGGAAACGTGCCAGGAGGGGCTGGGGAGGCGGCGGATTCCCCAGGGATGGAGCAGGGGGGGGGATGCTCTGGATTCCCCAGGGATGGAGCGGGGGGCTGCTCCTGTGACAGGAGCACTCCTGCTCTGTCTCCTGGGCCGTGTCCTTTAACCTCCCGGGGTTTTCTTCTCACCAAAAGGGAATAATCTGCCTCTTCCCTTTCCTTGCTCTTTTCTAAGACTGCAGAACGGGATGTCCTTTGTGCACGGGGGTCCCTCTACCCCAGGGGCTGCAGCGCCCGCCCTCGGCTCTTCCCCCTGCCCCGATGGCTCCAGGTGCCGCTGGAAGAGGCATTCCCGGGGCTCGGGCAGGAGCAGCCCACAGGTATCATCGTGTGGCCGCCGGCGGTGCCTCGGCACCCAAACCCCACCCCGGCCCCCGCCCCGTCCCAGCCGGGGACCCTCGGGGGTCCCTCCGCACCCCCTCGCTGTGGGTCTCCGTGGGGGCCGTGCCCCCCCCCGCCCTGTCCCGGCCCTGACGTCACTCCGGTCCCCCCCCCGTGTCCCCGGGACTGCTCGGCGGGATGGAGCCCGGAGCGCTCGGGCTGCTCCGCCTCTGCCTCTGCCTCTGCCTGGCCGGCGTCCTCCTGGCCCCGGGTGAGCAGCGAGCGGTGCGGACCCCCCCTCTGGGTGCGGACCCCCCCTCTGGGTGCGGGATCCCCCTCTGGGTGCGGACTCTCCCTCTGGGTGCGGACCCCCCCTCTGGGTGCGGGGGGAGCATCCGATGGCTCCCGCGAGCAGCGTCCCGCACACGGGGCATCCCGGGGGGGTGGGGGGCTCAGGCTGGCAGCGAGGAGGGCCGGGGGTCCCGGTGTGCTCCCCCCCCCCCCCCCCCCCCCCCCCCCCGGCCCCCCCCCGGGGGGGCCCCGCCCCCCCCCCGCCGCCCCCGCCCCCCCCCGGGGCCCCCCCCAGGCTGCCGGGGGGCGCAGGGCAGGTTCGCCTACAAGCTGCTCCACGAACTGTTCGCCAACTACTCGAGCGCCCTGCGGCCCGTGGAGGACACGGACCGGGCGCTCAACGTCACCCTGCAGGTCACCCTGTCCCAGATCATCGACATGGTGAGTGCCCGGCCCCGGGCTCGGCTCTGCCCCGGTGGGTCCCGCTCCGCCCCCGCTGATGCTCAGCCCTTGAAACCTGCCCAGAGCCCGCCCGAACCAGCCCGGCCGCCCCCGAGCCGGCTCAGAGCGCTTGGAGACGGCTCAGACCCCCCAAAACCAGCACAACCTCCCCCCCTCAATGAGCTCGGCCCCCGTGGAGCCTCAGAGCTCAGCTCAGACATTTCCAACCTCCTCAAACCAGCAGGAGCCCCTCGGAGCCGCCTCAGCCCCTCGGGACACTCGGAGAGGCCACCGGGCTGGGGGCTGAGGGGGGCGGGGGTGGCACCGGGGGCCATCGGCCCGTGCCCACCCTCTGCCCTCGGCAGGACGAGAGGAACCAGGTGCTCACCTCGTACCTGTGGGTGCGCCAGGCCTGGCTGGACGCCCACCTGACCTGGGACAAGGACGACTACGGCGGCATCGACAGCATCCGCATCCCCAGCAGCTACGTCTGGCGGCCTGACATCATCCTCTACAACAAGTGGGTCGTGCTCGGCCCCTCCCCGGCTGCTCCCAGGGCCCGGGGGGGCTCAGGCTGGGGCCGGGGGGCTGCCCCGGGTACTGCCAGCCTTGGGGCTGGGGGGCTGCACGTGGGGTGGGAGCAGGAGGGTCCCGGTGTGGGTGATGCAGGAGATGGTCACACGGACCGGGTGATGTGGGGCCGGGGGGGTTGCAGCAGCCCGGGGTGCCTGGGACCGACCCTCCCCACCGTGAGGGCAGCCGGGGGCTTCCAGTGACACGGGGAGGGGACACGGCTCGGCCCGGGGCCCACCTTGGCCCTACGGCCGTCCCTCCCTCCTCCTCCTCCTCCCCCAGCGCCGACGAGCACTTCGGGGGCTCCATGGAGACCAACGTGGTGCTGCGCTCGGACGGGCTCATCATGTGGGACTCGCCTGCCATCACCAAGAGCTCCTGCAAGGTGGACGTGTCCTACTTCCCCTTCGACGGGCAGCGCTGCCGCCTCACCTTCGGCTCCTGGACCTACAACGGGAACCAGATCGACCTCCGCAACCGCCTGGACAGCGGGGACCTGACGGACTTTGTGGAGAACGTGGAGTGGGAGGTGCTGGGCATGCCGGCCACCAGGAACGTCGTCACCTACGGCTGCTGCTCCGAGCCCTACCCCGACGTCACCTACACGCTGCTGCTGCGCCGCCGCGCCTCCTTCTACATCTTCAACCTGCTCCTGCCCTGCATCATGGTCTCCTTCCTGGCGCCCCTCGGCTTCTACCTGCCCGCAGACTCGGGGGAGAAGGTGTCGCTGGGGGTGACGGTGCTGCTGGCCCTCACCGTGTTCCAGCTGCTGGTGGCGGAGAGCATGCCGCCCTCGGAGAGCGTCCCGCTCATCGGTGAGGGCACAGGGAGCGGCCCCTGGGGCGGGGGGGCTGGGACGGGGGTCTGGGGGGGTACCTGCGAGGGGAAAAAGGGCTGTAGTGTGGGGGGTGAGGAACCCCTTCCAGGGGAAGGGCTGTGGTGTGTGAGGGGGGTGAGGACCCTCTGCCAGGGGAAGGGCTGTGGTGTGGGGGGTGAGGAATCCCTGCCGGGGGGGAAGGGCTGTGGGGTGTGTGTGTGTGGGGGGTGAGGACCCTGTGCCAGGGGGAAGGGCTGTGGTGTGTGGGGGGTGAGGACCCTCTGCCAGGGGAAGGGCTATGGGGGGCGAGGGGGGTGAGGACCCCCTACCAGGGGAAGGGCTGTGGTGTGGGGTGGGTGAGGACCCCCCCAGCCCAGTGCCAGCGCCCCCCGCCCCGTCAGGGAAGTACTACATCGCCACCATGACCATGATCACGGCCTCCACGGCGCTGACCATCTTCATCATGAACATCCACCACTGCGGGCCGGGGGCCCGGCCCGTGCCCCCCTGGGCGCGGCGGCTCATCCTGCACCACATGGCCCGGCTCTGCTGCGTCCACGAGGTGGGCGAGAGCTGCAAGAGCCCCCCGCGGGCGCCGGGAGGGCGGGGGAACGGGGGGGACGGCGCCGGGGGGCCGTGGGAGAGCCCCGGGCAGGGGGAGGTGGGGGCCGAGGCCGGGGGCTGCCCCCGGGGCCGCTGCCCGTGCCACCACGACGCCCTGCTGAGGAACGTGGGGTACATCGCCGGCTGCTTCCGCCGCCACCGCGCCAACCAGCGCCGCGCCGGCGACTGGAAGAGGGTGGCCAAGGTCACGGATCGGTTCTTCATGTGGATCTTCTTCCTCATGGTCTTCCTCATGAGCGTGCTGGTCCTGGGCAACGCTGCCTGACGGAACCACCACCCCCAGGCACCCCCTGCCCATGACCTACTCGGGGGTGCCCAAGGAGGGCAGCGCATCCCAAAGTGCCCCCGGGCCCCCTCGGAGCCCCACAGGGTGGGAGCTGCACCATGGCTGGGGGAGAGGAGCCCCACGGCGGGACCCCCCGCCCGGCTCTGCCAGGGTGGGCACCCACGGCCCCCCTTCACATCCCACCATCAAACGGAAATAAACTGTGGAATGTGTGTCCTGCCTCTCCTGCCCGGGGCAAGGGCACTGGATCTCTCCAGGGACTGGCCAGGATGAGGGTGGCCCTGGGAGGGATGGAGGGATCAGGGCCCTCCACTGACTGACACGTGGGATCCCTGTGAGGAGGGATGTGAGGATCCCTGTGGGGAGGGATGTGGGGCCCAGCAGGAGCTCTGGGGCCGCTGCCCACCGTGGCCAGGGCAGGTTGGTCCCGGGGTCCCTCGGTGCCTGCCCAGCCCAGCCCGTGGCAGCCACTGTCTGGTGGGAACCTGGCCCCTCTGGGACCCCTGCCTGGCCCCAGGGCCACAGAGCCCAGCTCTGCCCCGGGGCGTGGGACCCTGGCTGGGGCAGCAACAGGGGTTCTGCAGCACCACACAGCTCAGCTTCATGAGAAGTGTCCCCCTGCACCACAAAACCTGCACCCCAAAACCTGCACCTCAACCCTGCACCCCAAAACCTGCACCCCAAAA